AAATATTATCGAGAAAACATGTGGGAAGAAAAACATTGCTTCATAAAACTTTTTTAAATTTTTAAAAAAAAAAAGAGAATAAATTTAAAAATTTTTTGAAATAACTTTTTTTTTACTTTTCTATTTATTGGGGAAAAAATTTCTGTGACGAATTTAAATTGAGGTTCAAAAAATGACCAAAAAAAAACAGCAGAACCAGTTCAAAAAAGCTTTGAGTGCCGTATTTTATACACTTTAAAGATCAAGTAATCGATTATAGAATACCCAAAACGTGAATTAAAAACTTTTTATATTTTTAAATTTTTTCAGTTATTTCCCAAAAAAACCCATTTCTTTAAAAAACGGATTTCGCTTTTAACGATAATATTCTAGTTCAGGTGACACTAAAAATATATATATAAATAAAAAGTCTCCATTTGTACAACTTTTTTTAAAAATCCAGGTTTCAAACGTGGTCTCAGTCACCAAAGAACATTACCTACTATTCTCATATTTATAATTTACGACAAAGAAAAGAAGGTTTTATAACAATGTCCTTCTTAAAAACGATTTCTTTGCAGTATCTTTTAATATAAAAAAAAAAAGAGTGTAGATATTTCTTTAACGCGGCTAGAAGTGTACCAGAGACATTTATTCTCAACTGCTCAAACTCGGTTACATTCAGTAGTTCTATTTCTCGAATCAAATTTAAAAAAAAACAAACAGAGATGGATTTCTCTACTCGCAATAGTGGACAATTGACCACATCCCGTCAGGAATAATTCATTCCTGCATTTTACTTTCCATTGGGTCATCAACATTTCTTCCACTACACCCCCAAAACCATCCCAGTATCCGAGATAAGTGCCTACGCATGCTTGTTGCCAAACAATTGTCCCACGTTAGCCTTCCTCATTCACCTTGTCCCACCAACAAGGGACTCTCCCACTTTTCCATCAAAAATTCGACAGAAAAACTCACAGGGCGGCTCGTACTTAACTATTGTTGCACTTGATCTGGCTACTGGTTACGCCGAAGCGGCAAGAATTAATCAACAAGCAAATAAAGAGAGGCTTTTGAATAATAATTACATATTTCTCTTACGGTTGACCTCGGGATAAAAGCTACCGTAAACTCTTTGCGCTTGCAAGCAACAGCATAGGTCTGATATATAAAAAAAAATGCATCTGAAAGGTGTGTGAAATGTTTTGCCTAATCGTTCTTTCCCGATTCGTTCTCACGGTGTTTGAAAATGGCGGCCGGTGGAAAAGAAAACAATGAAGCTGTTTGTTCGATCCGGAATCGTGGTTGCCCCGACAATCGGCGCAAAATCGTTTGTGACGACAGGACTGGGAAAAGCAAGCAAGATTAATGATGTTGAGAAACTTTTTCGTCGGTTTTTGCCTTCCGATGTTTCCGGCGGTTTTGATCAATTGGGGGGAGATGTGATATTGTAGCGGCCAGATTAAGAGGAATTTGTTTATACATCGGTGGTGTTTTTGGATGGGTTTGCTTACATGTTTGAAGAAGCGCTTGACATCTAACTATTCAATTCTGTTTCCGGGATGGGGTTTCAAAATTAATTTTAGTATTTTTGTAAGCGGGGAATGGATTGAAAATAAATGTATTGGCATTGTTCTGGGATTTCATCAATTTTAGGATGAAGTGAACATTGTTATTTTAAGGGGTTTTGGGGAAAAAAAAAAAACGTAGTAAACGGAAAAACTTCATAAATAAGGAGAAAATTTGAGATTTATATATACTTAAATAGTTTTGATTATTTTAGTATTTTAATATTCTTTTATGAGAGAAAAAAAAAAGAAAGAAAAATTTATTAAAATTTATTTGATATCAAAAGAACGGGTTATATATATAATTTCATACGAATTCATGAGCTTTTAATATTTTTTTATCGGCATTAAACGCACTGCATACGTTTTTAGTAATTGTATAATAAGATTACATAAAATCTCTTTTTAAATTCAGAATAAGTTGAAAGTGCTTAGAAAAAAAATCAAGTGATTATAAAAATATTTTCCAAATATTTGAAGCATAATGTGTTTTTTTAAAAGTAATTTAATTTTATTTAAAGTAGGGACGCAGATTCTTATTTTAAATTAATTGGTAAGGTGGGGAGAATTACATTATACTTTCTAAAATCACTGTAACAATTGCGAAAAAAAAAAGGAGTAATGTTATTTATACAATGTTATTTATTTATTTATTTTCAAGTAGACCAGGATAAAACACTGTATACACTCATACTATAAAATTTTTCATGAGATAGATATATTTATTCGATTCAGTGGTGCACCTAAGGGGGTGTCCCCGGGACCGCACTCCCCTTCATCGTCCTTGATTTTTTTTTCGATTGATTATAATCCTATGTATACAGAATGAAAATTTTTTATTAGTTATTAATAATTAATTTTATTAATGAATGCTAATTATTTATTCAATACTTAATTTTTTACTATTATTTGTTCCCGACAATCGACGAAATCAAAAGAATATTTTGGGTGGCGTATTGGAGCATTATACGAGAAGGGTGGGCTTTTGACCCTTGACCCCTTCCCTCCCTTGAAAATTCTTGTGTGCCCCACAGTGATTATATACAACTAAGGGTTGGGATTGATTGACTTGAATACTTTGAACAACACGAGGCTATTGGCGATTGTGAACCCCGATCAAGGGACGAGTCCAACACTTGATCTGGCACCCCATTCTCCAAATTTCTACACCCCTCCAACGGAAGAGCTTTTAGCCTCGGCGGATTTAACGTTCATCAGACCTTTCTACAGGGAGTAATTTTAGTGGCAAAAGGATTCGATCCCACGACTGGATGGAAACGTTACTGACCCCGACTTTTTGACCATGACCACTTGGCTACTGCGGCCATGTATATGGGAAGGGGGGCTATCATACAGCTAACTAATCCGTTTCATTATCCTTATCTTTTAAGTATCTAAAAATAAAGTTCAAGAGTTTAAAATGACAGAATTCTTTTTTTAATTGAACAATACTTTTATTTTTTTAATGGTTATACTGTCTTGTTATGAGTGTATCTAAGCAACGAGTGAGATAGCTTATAAATAAAAATTTTTGCTTAGAAATCCTTATTTTATCTATATTCGTATTAAAATATTTGTCCATATTATTTTAGTACTTACATATTAATAAAGTAACATTAAAGAGATTATACTTGATTCTCTCAATGATGTTTGTGATTATATTTTCATACGATGTTCTGATATATTTTAATTATATTTATTTATTTGATTTTTACTATTGCTTTTTTGATAATTTCCCGTAAAATGTTAAAAAATTGCGACATAAAGAGAGACTGAATAAAATGAGAGCAAATGGTTCTATTTTAGATATATTTGCTTAGATGAAATTTTCGAATTTGGAAATCTCACTTTTCGATTTTATTGCAATACATATGCACTTACATCTCTTATAGCTGAATACCTACAGCACAATCATTACTCTTACAGCTAAGGACGATAAAAAATACTGTTTAAATTGCATTTGTATTAAATTCATAATACAATTACTAGAAAAATAATCCTACTTCAAAAATATTTCGCTATTTTGCAAAGGGAATAATAACCGCTGACAATTGCTTGCCTTTGAACTTAACATAATTATTGAGATAATTTCGAAAAATTTATCGTCAAAAAATGGATAGCTTTTTTTTATTTTCCATTTTTCGAGTTTATGACTTCGTTATTTCAAGATCTTCATCCAAATCGCAATAATGCAGCATACCATCCATGAAATCATTTCTCCTCAGAGCAATTATGAAGTTCTCATGCACATATAACTCTACTCTCCCAATCCAGAAATATTTTTATTATTTTTTCAGAACCATAACATATTTTTTTTTATGATACTTCGCTTTGACAGCAGGTAGAGTGTGCGATCACGACGAATAAGCGTTTCGCAATCGAGTCACCCCTATCCAATCACAAATTCGAATCTCATACTTTCATCCAATCAAAACCCCTCACAGAGATAGAGAAGAAAAAAAAAGAGGGCACACACACACACAATTTGTCATTTCGTGAGGGATTATTTCCTTCCGCTGCTTGCATAGCTCACTCACACTCACGCTCGCCCACGCAAGAGTGATATCTCTCTCTCTCCATGTCCATTTTTCCTCGGTGGTCACGCCATTGGTCATGTAGGACAGTCACGAACTATGCCACGGGGGTTGATTCGATGGGACAGGTCGGGATGGAGAAGAAGTCCCTAAACGAAGTCGAGTCCGTGGTTTGAACTGGATCTGGCAAGATCTAGTTCCTCCACTACACGCGGAGAGATACATGGGTTTTTATTTTTCTTGTTCGTAATGAAAGCAAATGGGCCGTGACGACGACGGCCTTGTTAAATTCAGATTAGAGCAAGAGATTAATTAATATTCAGAATGCTTGGAAGATAGGATGTTAATAGATGAGCATTTTCTTGAAGTTTTTGATACTGCTACACCATCCGGTTGAGTGAGATTGGATGAATTTATTGCCTCTCGATCGCAGTGTCTGAAATCGATAGTAGTGCTATTTGTCGCTTTAGCTATGGTTCGTTGTTGTTGTCCGAGTGACTTGGTTTATTTTGCTTGCTGACCTGATAGGGAAAGTGAAAGTGCCATCAATATAAATGAGGAAATTAAATGGCAGATTTCATTGAAGCCTTGGCATAATTTGAATATATAATGAATAGAGCTACATAGGTGACTAATCTCGTAATTTAGAGCTGCAGTTTTTTCAATTCCTGCTATTATTTCACACTCTCTCTATAAATATATATATATCTTGTTGAAATTTCCAACCGTTAATAAAATACTTTTTATTCATCCACTCAAGTTCAAATACATTTTTTTAAAACTTGTAATGGATGACACTTGATGTTAATACAGTTTTTCAAATATTAATTCGTTAATTAAGTTTAATTACTGAATAAATAGCAACAAACAAAAATAATAGTCCAACATTATACAAAAAAGGAAAATCGCTCGTTGTGTCCTTGTAGTGCAATGGATAGTTCGTTGAACTTCTAATACAAAGGTCGTAGGTTCGAATCCTATCTGGGAGAACTTAATTTTTGAGAATGTTATTTCTTTTTACTGTACTATTTTATTGGAAGAATTAAAGTTAATGAATGAATAAACAGTAACAAACAAAAATAATAGTCCAAAACCCTATATAGAAAGGAAAATGGAAAATTGCAAGGAAAATCGCTTTCTATTTTGCCATTTAATATTGTGATTCTGTCCTATGTATATACTCGTATATATTTATATTAATAATAATTATTGAATAAAAAGTAACTAAAAATAAAAAATTTTTCTTTATTGATCTAAGTAGGAATTGACTTAAAATTTTTTATGCTACTTGTTTTTAACAAAGGGCCTATTTGAGCTATTATCTCACTCATTATACATTTCCCCACATGTAGAGAGATTTTGAGACTCCGCTGAAAATAGATGCTGTAAGAAGTAATGCTCCTACGTTTTTTTTTTTTGAACTACGAAGGATCTTTGATTGAAACAGAATTTGGAAGGGTTCTCTATTGAGAATATTTCCTGAACTTTGGGAGAAACCATATAGAAAATTTTAACAAAGCTTTTATAAATCGATCACTGATTGATATGAAGAAAGAAGTAATACGAATGATAACTTAACTCAGTAGCACGACAGCCCATGAGGGTTAAGGCCAACTGTGCCCAACTCGATATATGCAACCTTGGGCCATGAGCAGATGTTCCGATCAGGTGGTCAGTCTGGCGCGAAACCCCCAGTGTTAAGTTTCCAAGCAAGCATACTCATTTATCAACCCACTGAAGGGATGAAAGGATGAGTCAATCTTGCTCAGCCCGGGGTTTGAACCTCGGATCTGTGGCGTGGAAGCATGATTCTCTAATCACACAGCCACTGGGCTTATATATCGCATAATAGCTGTTATAAAAATAACACATACAACCTTCTTTTCACGAATAAAGAAATTAGGATGTTTTTGCTCTTGGTAAGTTTGTCGTGGCCCGAAAGTCGTGGGTATAAGAGGGTTTGGGTGAAGAAGTAGCATGATCTTAAAATAGCTGCTTTTATTCCTATCTTTATGAATGATATACAACTTTATTACTTAACTGTGAGAGCAATCTGAAATCCTAACACTTATTCTGACGTACAAAATTATTGAAAATCTCTTAGATTCAGTCAGAGTTCCTTGTGACAATCCTTCTCGAACCCCGGATAGCTCGGTCAACTCCAATGATATTTACTTACAACTCCTGTGGATTCTATGACAAATATTAATTTTAGGAAACGCGAGCTTCAGTCGCAATTCACCTTTTATTATTCTTAGATTTCACGATTAACGATTCACCATTACACACCTAACATCAGGGTTTAAATAGTAGTTACATCTGCATAAAATCAAGTCATCTCTATGGAAATCGGTTTTTAACTAAAATCATAGTTTATCACAGTTTCTACAAAGGATTAGTAGTAGAATAGCTCTCGCTACAAGTTTTGTGTCGCTTTTCTAGTTCATTATTATTTTTTAAATTTTTTCCGTTTTGAATGTTTTGATTTTAACTGGGTAAAATGAATGAGGTTGACACCTGAGCTGGTACTCTCCTCTCTAAATTTCCACACCCGCCAACATGAGGACTTTAAGCCACTATAGATTTATATAACGACTCTATCTTTGCCTCCTCTCTAGACCCACTACACGACAGGTCTTCAAATGCACCAGGATTCGAACTCACTACTCGCCGGCTATGAGTACAGGACCATGACCTCTCAGCTACCAAGGCAATTTGAACGCTTCAAGAACACGCAAAAATATCTTGGAAAATAAATGTGCGTTTTTTACACACATATTTTAGTAAGTCACATTTGTGCATACAATTCCTTAAGAAAAATTAATTAAATTGTACATTTTTCTCCCCTCACAGTAAATTTTGTTTTTGTGTAAGGTATCCTTATATATGTTTAAATTACAAAAAATGATTATTCTGAATCAGTATGAATGCAAAGTTTTTCTATCGAATTATTTTGAAAAACAGTGAAATTCGCAGAACACGAAACTGAAGGGACTGAACTATTTTTTCGTGTTAAAAAAAGTTCGTGTTAAAGCCTATTGCAGGAAGAAAAAAAAACTTATGAACAAAGTTAAGTTTATTAAAGTTTATTTTATTTACATAGGATATGTATATGTACATATATTTAATAAAAATCCACGAGACAAAAGTTACTTTGAATATTTCTTATTATGTATATTATTTTTTTAACGTAATTAAAACATTTCTAAGGTTATAGTAAAAATTATACTAATAAGTTAGAAATTACAATGTAATAATTATTAGCGTGAACTGTTAGGTAAATAGCATGAAAAAGACCCATAGCGGTACAGAATTCGAAAGAAAAAAAAATCACCCCGAATTTAATTTTTTGTTAATGTATCTTATGTATTTCTATATTAGTTTTAAAAGATATTTTTAAAAGAATCTCATTATATACATTAGTTTGAACTTTTTAAACTCCTTAACTGGTTAAGGGGTTAACGAAAGCTGGTCACAACTGGTTTACATGTACGCTGTACAGACACTAATATATTTTCTCTATCTATCCTTGATTTGCGCATATTTTCAATTCTTAAGGTATCCGACTACGTTCGGAACCGTGCTTCTGCAAAAGCGTATAAAGGGATACTATTTATGATATTTAGTGTCACTTAGATTAGAAAATGTATATAAAATTATTTTAAGAATAGTATTACAATAAAAAATTATTTTACACTATTTTGACAAAAAATGAACATAGAATGACCCATTTTCAAAATATTCTCCTTTTGTGAAAAAGGCTTCTACTATATAATAATATTTTGTGCCTGTATATAGCTCAGACCTCTCTACAGAGGCTCAACTAGAATTTTTGAAGAATATAACTTAGAAGTGGGTTTATCCATGTTTTACGACAACAGAGGGGAGACATTTTAAGAAAAAAACGCCGATAATTATTTCAACTGGTTGTAACTTAGAAAATATTGTGAATTTTTCAAAAATTTTAGTTGAGCTTCTGTACAGAGGTCTGAAGCTATTATAGGCAAAATATTATTATAATAGAAGCATTTTCACAAAAGGAGAACATTTTGAAAAAGGTTATTCTAATAATTTAATTATTACCGAAATATTGTTTTAAATAATCATTTTTTTGTTAAAATTTTCTGTAAAACAATTTTATACATGTATAATCTAAAATGTACACTTAAGTTATCATGAAAATATCCATTTACGCTTTTGAAATACGGTTCCAACGTAGTGGATATCTAAATGTATTATTAGTGCTAGTGTCTTATAAGAAATGCATTTTGTCCATGGTACTTCTTGGAGGGAAATATTTTCATGCAGGATTTTATTTGTGGTGAAGGCAGGAATTTTCATGAAGACAGGAATTAAGATTTTGAAAATATTCGATAAAGAACAGGAATTGAAGGCAAGTGCAATTTGTTGCTTGACCCGAATTGAATGAAGGAATTTCGAAAAGCCGATATTATCTCATTTTATTGCATTGTAAGCTTAAGTATTACACACACTCAGTTTGGAAGCATATATATAGCACACACACCTCAACCTTTGAAAAAAGCTAACAACACTGAAATTTTTGTAAGTGTGAAAGAAATTTTGTTAAGATACATATACATAAAACATTCTTCATAGCATTCAGACTGTACTTATAAAAAGCAGACATTTAGGGGGAGGGGGTGGGTTGTGTTCCATAATAATAAAATAAAAAATAGTCTGAAAACTTTAGAATTGAAATAAAATTCTTGCATTTTCGCATTCTGTTATATGTGTTACGCTTAGTTATATGCAATAAAACATGTGCCTTTTTTTTTTTTTGGAACATTTTGGGCCTAAAAATCGTCCTCTCAAGGGATTAATCATTAAAAAACTATGAAAGCAAATTTGGAAATACAAATTAGAACAATAAGAGAGCGTTTATAATACAAAAAAACTCCTTTTAGATGAATATCTTTCTCGTTCTTTTTTTTTAAAAAAAGAAAGAAACTACTTTCATAATAGACACATCGTTTAAACTTAATTTCCCATTACGGAGAAATAATCCGTCCAATAAAAGGATTTAAAAAATGCATCGGGAGCAAATTCAAAAAGCGTTGACCGTTTGAGGCCGGTTCCAATGTCGCAACATCGCAAAAATAAATAGATAAAAAGAGAATATAGATGATAAAAACGAGGCCAAAATTCAGAAGCGTGATGGGCAGGTCCACCCCCTCCCCACACCAGAGGAGGGAGGACGGAGAAACAACAACAACAAAAAAAAAATCTGCTTAGAGAAAGGGTACATGCAACACCTACTTAAACAAAAGGAGTCGTATTCTCGCTGCATCTTTTGATATCGAGGTTAATTTGAACTCTCGTCCTTAGCGTAGATTTTTGCCACGGGGTTGTGTGTGTGTCTCTGGAATATAAAATAACGCCACTTCAGGGTCTTGTATCTCGTTAGTTGGATTCAGTCGTGGTGATTTTTGTAAGAAATTGTTATAATGACTTCCTTAGAGCATTTAAAAAAGTTTTTAAAAAATTGTGGAACGTGTGTGATAGAGTCATTATGTGAAGCAAGGTCGGAGGGAAACTTTTTTGATAATGGTCTTCGATAACCGATAGTGCTTTTGTCACGTGACATACCCGCGAAGTTTTCCTTCCACATCTGCGATTCTGAGCCTGACCATTACACATAATTAGCGAAAATGACTTTACGTTTTTCTTAGTTCGGATTTATTTTTTCCTCTCGGATAATATGACTGTCATATAACTCCGATTACGTTCGGGAAAATGAGTTTACACAAATTCAAATAATTGAAAACTCGGAAAGGATGGCTTCTGTAATATATATTTCCCAACACAGCGTTCAAGCCCTTGTTTTGAATATACTACACAAGCATAAGTAGATACAGTCATACCTCCATATAACGAACCTCAATGTTGCGAACTTTTTCCTGGATCCAAGAACATTTTAATATATTCTTCGTAAAAATGATTTTCAAATAGCGAAGTGCGTATTTTCTGT